CTTTTGGATTCTGTATGTAGACACCGTGTCATCTGTTCACAAAGGCAGGTTTATTTCTTCTTCGTTAATTTGTGTATTTGTGAAACTTTAACTCCTTTTCATGTCTTATTGCATTAGCTAGGACTTCCAGAAGTATATCGAAAGGAGTGTGAAAGGCACCACTCTTGCTTTGCTCCTGATCTCGGAGAGAAAGCATCTAGCTTTTACCATCAGCTGTGATGCTGCCAGTTGTGCTGTTGTAGATGTCATTTGTCACACTGAGGATGTATCCTCTCTTATTTGCTGGAGATTACCATTTGTGTTTGAAGCTTTGTTAAAACTTTCATGTCTCTTGACATTCTCCATCTGTTCTTCCACGTTGTCACTTTTCCTTCAGTTTTTTTAAATAAGTGAAAGGACTTTATTTTGAAGGTTCAGTGTTAGAGATCTGTTATGTTATGTGACAACTCAGGATGAAGAGAACCTGCCATCCACCTTTGATGGCTGCTCTCTGGGGCCCAAGCAGCAAGTGCAGAAATAAAAAGGCCTCCAATAAGCCTGTGTGGTCCAGTAAAATTAATTGATTTATTTTTGAAATGAGTTTAATGACACAGTTAAGAAGTTTTTAAATTTTTTCACACTTAAGGAGTTTCACACTTAAAAAATTATACAATATATTAAAAAAAATGAATTCCAATGGAATGACATGCTAGAACGAGAAACCGACTTGGAGCAGGTGGCAGGGAACATTTTCCCTGGCCCTGAGGCAGGAGTCCTGAGGAGGCCATGATGCTAAAGCATCTTTGCTGTGTCGGGAGCCCAGCCTCCATCTGTAAGGAAGAAGCCTGAGTGGAAGCCAGCGGCTGCCGGACATTGCAGGGACAGCTTCTCTAACAGAAGACCACCTCCCCCCTCAGAGGGAGAGGACGCTGTTACCATTTAGAATTCAATCACATGACCTAGAGTCATCCCCTGGGGCCAAATACAGGGTTGGGGTGCGTAGCAGGTTTCTTGATGACATCAGACAGATGTGGCAGGAAGATTTCTGCTGTGACACTGCTGCTTCCTCTGATGGCGGTTCTGAGCTCGCAGAGATTCTTCTGACAAGTGAGCTATCTCAATTTCTACCTTTCCATGGGTGACAGCCCTGTCACAGATGCCCACAATTCTGATATTACACTAAAGATGGATTTTCGTTTCTTTTTTGAGAATACTATAATTTGAATTCAAGGGCTTCATACTTGTGAGGCAAGCACTCGACTTTTGGGGCCATGAGTCCTGACCTTTTTCCTCTGGTTATTTCTGAGACGAGGTCTTCATGCCTTGGTTGTCTTAAACCCCAATTCTCCTACGCTATACCTCCTGCTCTTGCTGAGATGACAGGCATGTGCCACCACGCTCAGCGTTTTTCTGTTGAGAGGGTGTTTTGAAACCTTTTTGGCCTAGGCTGGCCTGGATTTATGATCCTCCCAATCTCAGCCTCCCATGAAGTTAGGGAGGGGGCTTGACCCACCATGTCCAGCTGTTGGTTGAGGTAGAATCTTTCAATCTTTTTGCCCAGGTTGGCCTCCAAACATCTGTCTTCCCCATCTTGGCCTCCCAAGTTGGTCGATTACAGGAGTTTGCCACTGTACCTGGCAAGATGGATTTTTTTTTCAAGCCCTCATCGAGTCAGTCTACAACAACTAACTGATCTCCTTTTTCAAGAGAAAAAGGATAATTACTTAACTCTCTCTTGGCTCCAAGGGGAACACTAACAAAACCAGTAAGGGGTCTATCAGAGCATTGCACTCCTTTGTTGTCTTTCCCTCTTTCAGCCCTTACAAAGCTCTCTCCCTGTTTTTCTTGGCTTGAAACAATAAGTTGGAGACCACAGTCCAACACTGTGGGAGGATTTCCTGGTTATGACAATTGCAAGGCCTGCACTCAAGTCACCTGCCCGGCAGAGGTTCCTTTGTCCATACTGTGTGGGTGAATTGGTGAGTGTTGTCATTGTGAATAATAGGAACAAATTCTTGCAGATGGGACACTTGTCTTTCAGACCTACAGACTCTTTATTCTCAGCTCCTTTCCCTCTTCCTTCGGTTTATCAATTATTTTTTTCGGGCACTGCACACTTCTGAAAAGATTGGTTTGTGAAGTGGAGGAAAGCATATTATCTAAACTGAAGTAACACAGCACAAAGAGAAACATCCTCTTCATCTCGTGTCCTGCAGATGACACGGGACTCTTGAGACTTGAACAGATGACACCTGTTCAGAACTTCTGTGACTCCTGGCAGGCACTGAGTCCCAGACACATGCCCCCTTCAGAGCTCACGCTAAGGATTCCTGCCATGCTCAGATGTGCCTGCTGCCCCAGAGGAATGCAATCTCCAGAGAGAAGGACCAGCATCAACTGTGTTGCTTTTGTGACTCTAGCCCTACCAGGCAAACCTGAAAATAATGGATTGGTAAACCAAGCTACAGGGTACGCCTGCACTTCTTATAAGCCTCAAATTCACCGTGTAGATTTTGTGTGACTGTGACACCTCCTTTCTGAAGACTAGCATTGGAAAAGTAACCACTGTGTCCCTCCCCATGTCTCAGAGTGCTAATGCCAGGCGCCAGGCACAGTCCTGACAGGGGGCCTATTGCTAGACACTGAGCTATTCTGGGGGCCTAAAAACCAGGAACAATGTGATTCGGGGTTTGGGGCACAGACCATAGTGTCTGAATGGGAGATGGCCCTGAAAGGTGGTCGCAGAGAGAGGAAGGGCTGACATAGATGCACTGAGAAGTCAAGCAGGAGGGAGATCAGGCAGCACCTGCTCTCTGTGGCCAGGAGTGAGCCTGGCTCCTTCATTCATCCACATTCAGAGCAGAAACTGTCCTCTGCTTTCTTCCCTCACTCTCCCACGCATTAGGGGGGTCACTCCTAGGCTTGACACTTGCTGCCCCCAAAGGCACAAGGTGGGTTCAACCCAGTGCTGGAGTGGCTGAGGCCATTCCCAAGCAAACAATGGTGAGGAAGAGAAAAAATTTCATGTTTCAAAACCCAGAAAGGGAAAAGAAATAAGGATCTGATTAGACCGATGCTTGTAAGCCTTCTGATTCCCACCGGCTTCCAACTGTTAAAGATATTGTTGGTTTTAAACAGCCAGTAGGTGTATTTAGTCAAGTCACCAAAATAAAGGGCACCTGTTCAGAACTCTAGGAGTTGAAACAGTGCATGCAATCACAATTTGTGTGATGAGAAGGGTGTCAAGGTTCCCATGGGGTCAGAAGCTGAATGTAACGTACAAGAACACAAGGAAACTGTTGCTCTAGGTTTTGTACCAATGGAGCAGAGATCACCCAGGACACACTTGGCTAATGAGTGTCTTATCCTAACAGACTCAGAGTTAGGCAGACACCTGATGTCCTCTTGTTGGCTAACATATACCAAGAATGAGATAGTTCTTGCAAAAACCCCTTTCCTGGATGAAACCTTTCTCCCTATTAAAATTGGGAGGGACAGCATCTGGTAGTCTGTCCATCCCACACTTGAGAAAAGGCCTCCTACATCACTGTCCCAACCAGGTGCTGGGTCATGTAGCCAAGCCACAGGAAGCCAGTGCCACCAGTTTCAGCTTCTGGACAGTACCCTTGGTTGAGGTCTGGGTTGGGTCCCTCAGGTTGTACTTTGATGGTCTGGAATAAGACACACCCCCTGATTCCCCCCTCTGTATGTGCCCCCTGAGGCAGGAGGATTTTACAAGAGGCTAAAGGCAAGGTATGGTTACCTGGTGACGCAGGGAGCATGGCAACAGTGCCAGGTCTGCATAGTGGAGCTGCCCTGTCTGGCCTGTCCAGATCCAGAGGCTGAGTGATGTGCACAAGCTGAGATCAACTGAGTGGTCCCAAAGCCTCCCTAGGTTCCCAGTCACCCTCTTCTGCATCCTCACCACAAAGCTGCAGGGCAGGGGTAGAAGTTCTCATTCCTCAGGTGTTGTATCTGCCACCTAGACCCTGTCCCTGCAGAAGTCCCCTTCTCCCAGTCCCTGGGCCTGCCATTCTTCAGTGGGTCTGGTTTCACTCACCTGGTGTGGCCTCAGCTGCTGCAGGTGCCTCCACAGACACAGCTCTCGAAAGGACCACTATCCTGCAAACATTTGTCATGGCAACCCCTGGACTCAGGTTTTAAGGCCCAGAGTCTGGGGATGGCCTGCTTCCTGCACTGCCGTCACCTGCCCCAGACATTGGGTGTTTGGGAATTTAGAAGGATCTGTTCCATCCTGGGAGGGGAGTGGGTTTCTTATCATGTCTATAGGTTTCTTCCAAGGACAAGATCAGGATCCTTTTGTCTCTGGTGATCACTCCCTTTTCCCTGCTGTCATACAGTCCTCTAATGTCAGGACCCAGCAAGAAGGCCCATGCCAAATGCCGTCACCTTGATAATGAACCCCCAGCCTCTGCAACTGGGAAACTGTCACCATTTTGTTCAATAGAATCACTCCTGTCAATCTCAGTCTGTGGCATTTTCTGATAGCATCCTAAAGTACACTAAGACACACTTTCTTGTACCACACTCTGTAGTTTTGTCTTTTTACATCATCTGGTCAGTGGAGGTCCCTCTGTCCCTGCTGTGTGGATGGACTGGCTGAGCACTGTCACTGTGAAACATGGGAACAAACAGGACACTTGCCTTTATGAACTAAGGACCTATTTGTTCTCCCTCTACGGTTCCTACTGATTTACCAATTCATGTTTTTTTCTGGAACTATGTACTTCTGAGTTGATCAGCTCATGAAATTGACAAAAGTTCACTATTTCAAAATTGAAATAGCACAAAGAGAAACCTCCTCCTCATCTCATGTACTACAGATGACACAGATCTCTTATGATTTGATCAGAGGGCATTTGTCAAACCTTCTGTGATCCCAAAAGGGCACTGTGTCCCTGACACATGCTCCAGTTACCTCTGCTCCCCTTTCAGAGCCCTGGACTCCTGCCATGCTGGGATGTGCTGGCTGCTGTACGGCAATGAAGCTCCAAGGGCAGGGACCAGGGTTATCTGGTTCACTTTTGTGTCCTCAGCCCCAGCAAGTACCGCCTCATGAAGGTGAGCAATAGACAGTGCTGAATGTACATGTGCAAAAGAATAGCAGCCTTTTAAATACACGAATTGTGAAACTTTACAAATTTCACTGGAAAAGAGGCCGTGTTTCTGGGCAGCACTTATTAATTTATGTTCAAATACAGATGCACTTTTCTAAGATTACCTGCAGCTTGGTTTAATGTATATTCAGACCCTCACTTCTGATCCTTCCATCTGTCTGCCACCTTCTAAGACTACGGAACCATGTTTGAAGCCCGGCCTTCACCCAGGAATCCTATCCTCCTTGGCCACCCACCAGTGTCCTGGCCTTCCTTGGCTGCAACATGGCCAGCAGGTCTTTACCCACAGTTGGTGACGATATCCCAGAATCAAGATCCACATGTTTGGTCCATAACCTGACGGGACTACAACCACCTTGCTTAATGAACTGGATCTCCCAGGCCCTTTTATAGTAGTAAAATAATAGATCTATTGTTTGCTTTTCTAACAATTGATTTTTTTTCTTTATTCAAACAAGTTTCCTTTGTTCTCACACAGCTTTTGTCAAGTGTTGCTTCTCTCAAGGACAGGGTTTGACACAGCTCCTGGGCACCTGACGTAAAGTTTGCATATGTTTGACTAGAGGAGGTGGAAGGCACCCCTTCTTTGTCCTGGTGCAGAGTTGACACATTCAATTCTGTCTTCAGAGATAAATGACATTATAAAGAGAAAGCTGTTACCATCCTTACAAAATTTAAATTTTATTATCAAATGAGTCAATGCATTCCTTATGTGAATCAATAATTCCAATCTACTTATGTCAGTTACTATGTAGTGGAATCATTTCACTGCTCTAAAAATGTCACAGAATTCACATCACAACTCATCAGTGACTCAAGTGTTGGATCCTATACAGTAGGAGCTGTCACCTTAAAGAAAAAGTCCCTCTTCTGGGCATGATGTCCACGGTCGAGGCCTTCCTATCACCATCCAGGAGCTCACCCAGTGGGGTAGCTGGCCCATGTGGCAATCCCACAGCGGTCATCCTGGCCTCTGAGATCTTCACGTAGCTGTCCATGCCCCATTTCTTACTCCAGCTAAAGGAAGAGCAAATTCTCCACTAAATAGAGAGAATGAGGCACATCGACACTGATAAGACTAACTCCTGACTTGAGGGAAGGTCTCAGCTGTGAGCACCCACATCAGAAAATCAGATCTCAGAAATAATCTAAGATTTTGCTCTTTTAAAAGCAAAGGGGAACTCCCTTCCACCTCGTGGAACATGGGTTAGGAGCACAGCACTCAGCAGGTTGCAGTTTAGGCTTTCCAAGTCAATGCTGTCATAAATCATCCTAGAAAGTGAATTCTCTAGTTTGATTTGATACTGAAAAACAGCTCATGTGTCTGTAATAAGATATGCTACATCTACTAGTCTATAGGATTTTTTCACTGTGAAGAAATCCATGACATAGAACAGCATGCATGAGCTCTGTGTTACACAGCTCTGACATCTGATACTCTCTAAAAAGAGAAAAGTGAACTGAGAGTCCCTCTGCACTCTCCTAAAGGAAATGCCAATACCTTCTTGGCTTTCCTCTGGGCACTGGAAGGGTTGAATGTGACAGCGTCATATATGATGTCATAGCCGATCCTTCACAGGAGTCACAAATCCTTTCCCTCTAGAACCGCATATTTGGGGACATCTTGTAATATAGATCCCTGAAACACTCTCTCTCAGGCTTTGGGATCCAATAGCCATGCTTTGTCTTCCTGAATTCTTCATGGGTCTTCAAGGAAGAGTAAAGAACATGTTCAGAGCAGAGAGCATTTTGTAAGAAACAGAGGAGAGGAAGCACAGATTACTCAATGCACGCCACACTCACCAGGTCGCCAAAGGCTTCATTCCCATGGTGAAGCCGTGTTTCCCTTCCTTGTGTTCCTCATCGTGCAGCTCAATCATTTTCAAATTCTCCTCCCATACTGCTCTCCCCTGTCCTTCTTCATTCTAGAAATAAGTACAAGTGATGGTATCTCTTTCTTTTAAAACCCACGCCCAAAAGATGAAAAGACACCATGACCGGGAATAGGTTTGAACTTCTGGGAGCTACAAATGTCCAGAAACAAGAGGGTTGTTTCCCACATTGTGCTCAAACAGGTGTCATTAGGTTAGTGCCTTGGTAAAATGTAGCTTCTAAAGTCTACTCCTGAGCTATAAAGTCCCAACAGCAAAGGTCCTAGAGACCATTCTGTAGGAGTCCCTCTGGACACTTTCAATGTGACCTGCTGAGCTGTAGGTTCTGCTGTTTTGTCTTCCACTCTTCCCATTGTGCACCCAAAGTGTGAGTAAGTGTTGGAGCATCTGACGCCACCCCCAAGCAAAGGACGGCGAGGAAAAGGGAAGGACTCATGCTTTACAACCTAGAAAGGGAAAGAAATGAGGGTCTCATCTGACCAAGGCTTCTATAACAGCCTTCTTTTTCGTACCTGAGAAATGGAGGACTCCATGGAGGAATAACAATATTTAAACTGTTTTGGAAGGATTACCCAAAGATTGTGGAAAAGGCTGAGCATATGGTTTGTTGACACCAAGATGAAGAGCCTCCTGCCAGATGTTTAGGAGTTGGGGTAGTGTATGCAGTGTTAGTTTAGGATATTAGAATGCTAGCGATATACCCATGGGTCAGAGACTTAAGTAAACAACGGGCAACTAGGAAGTGGTTGAGCTAGGATTTGTCATTCAAACAACGTGTTTCTAGCTGGGATGTTTGATTCCACATGGGGGCAAAGATAAATACCAGAATTGGGAGAACACCTCACACCTTGATCTTGGTTAATACCCAACATCAGATGCGCTATGTCTTAGGAACTTCCCCTTCTTAAGTGAACCCCTTCAGGAAAATCCTTCCTAGAGAAACTGTGAAGAACAGCACTCGGCACTCCAGCAGTTCCACACATCAGCATCCAACTTCCACGTGGTCATGTGGCCAAGAAAATGGAAATATGAGATACCAATGCCAGCACCTGAACAGGGGCAAGAAGATCCCAGAGCTCCAGATTCAGGTCTAGGGTAGGTCTCCCCTCTGGGACTTTGGGCAGAGTCTGTTCAAGGACATGCCATGATTTTTCTGCCCTCAGCACATCCCTTGGTGCTTATAGGACGTTACCCAGTAGTGATCAACAAGAGGATATTACCTTGTGGTACAAAAAGGATGGAGCATCACAGCCTGGTTTGCAGAGGTCCAGCTGCCATATGCTATCTGGCCAGGTCCTGAGCCTGACTGAATTGCAGAAACCATGAACCTCCGTGTCATCATGGTGGCACACTTGGTTCCCCCTTCCTTTCCTCCTGGATGGTCACAATTTCCAGCGATGGCACAGGTGGTCTTGTTCATGAAGGTTGTATCTATCTAGTTGACAGCATCCCAGCAGGGATCCCATTCTCCATTCACTGTTCCTACCACAATTCAATGGGACACTCACCTGATTTGGCCGTAGCTCTTCAGGTACACTCCAAAGACTCAGTTCTTCAAAGATGGCTACCCTGCAAGCCTCTGAGTCCTGATACCAGGAGTCAGGCTTTAAAGCCCCAAGTCTGCTGGCTGGCCTACCTCCCCACCCAACTTCTAAACTGCCATTGGCTGCCCTGGATCAGGGCGGGGTCTGTGGGTCCTCTGACTCCCTCGGCATGACAGAACTTGAATCCAACCTCTCCCATGATGGTTTGTTATCTAGGGAATGTGTTCCTTACAAGGACAAGTTCATCCCTCCTTCTGTGTCTGGTGTTCACCCTCCTTTGCCCTTCTGATCTATGGTCCCCTGAGCGCCTATGACCCAGAAACAAGGCTCTCATCAGATGCTGGTACTTTGATACTGAGCTTCTCATCCTGGAATATCAAGAAGGCCACCCATTCTTTCTCCCGTTGTACCATTGGCACTTTGCTTTTGTCTTTAGAACATAATTGCGTGTTTGACTATACACACAAAAAAATGCACTGAAAAGAGAAGGAGGGGGTATTAGTGGGAAGAGACTTGGTTCGACACTTCTTCCATGTGTCTCTGATAAGAAAACTCAGTGTAACAAAGAATGACCCATAGACCTCATCAAACTAAAAAGCTTCTGTTCATCAAAAGAAATGGTCTCTAAACTGAAGAGAACACCCACAGAGTGGGAGAAAATATTTGCCAATTATACATCAGACAAAGGACTGATAACCAGAATATACAGGGAACTTAAAAAACTAAATTCTCCCAAAACTAATGAACCAATAAAGAAATGGGCATGTGAACTAAACAGAACTTTCTCAAAAGAAGAAATTCAAATGGCCAAAAAACACATGAAAAAATGCTCACCATCTCTAGCAATAAAGGAAATGCAAATTAAAACCACACTAAGATTCCACCTCACCCCTGTTAGAATAGCCATCATCAGCAACACCACCAACAGGTGTTGGCGAGGATGCGGGGAAAAGGAACCCTCTTACACTGTTTGGGAATGTAGACTAGTACAACCACTCTGGAAAAAAATTTGGAGGCTACTTAAAAAGCTAGACATCGATCTACCATTTGATCCAGCAATACCACTCTTGGGGATATACCCAAAAGACTGTGACACAGGTTACTCCAGAGGCACCTGCACACCCATGTTTATTGCGGCACTATTCACAATAGCCAAGTTATGGAAACAGCCAAGATGCCCACACTGACGAATGGATTAAGAAAATGTGGTATCTATACACAATGGAATTTTATGCAGCCATGAAGAAGAACGAAATGTTATCATTCGTGGTAAATGGATGGAATTGGAGAACATCATTCTGAGTGAGGTTAGCCTGGCCCAAAAGACCAAAAATCGTATGTTCTCCCTCATATGTGGACATTAGATCAAGGGCAAACACAACAAGGGGATTGGACTTTGAGCACATGATAAAAGCGAGAGCACACAAGGGAGGGGTGAGGATAGGTAAGACACCTAAAAAACTAGCTAGCATTTGTTGCCATTAATGCAGAGAAACTAAAGCAGATACCTTAAAGCAACTGAGGCCAATAGGAAAAGGGGACAGGAACTAGAGAAAAGGTTAGATCAAAAAGAATTAACCTAGAAGGTAACACACACGCACAGGAAATCAATGTGAGTCAATGCCCTGTATAGCTGTCCTTATCTCAACCAGCAAAACCCCTTGTTCCTTCCTATTATTGCTTATACTCTCTCTACAACAAAATTAGAGATAAGGGCAAAATAGTTTCTGCTGGGCATTGACGGGGTGGGGGGGGAGCGGGAGGGGTGGAGTGGGTGGTAAGGGGGGGTGGGGCAGGGGGAGAAATGAACAAGCCTTGTATGCACATATGAATAATAAAAGAAAAATGAAAAAAAAAAAGAAAATAGCAAAAAAAACAAAAAAACAAAGAATGACCCATAGCCCAAAGACAGGAAGAGAGGATTAGAGGAAGAGCATTGAGAATTAAGAAAAAAGGTGACAGGACTGCTGAAAAGCACAAAGAAACAGAGATGTGACAGAGAGGCAAAGAAAAAACAGCATGAAGGTCCAATCTTGGCTCTGCAATAAGACTAGAATCCAAAGCCACAATTACAAGATAGCCAGGTAAACCTGGAGAGAATACATTGGGCAGACCTAACCACAGGACAAGCCTACACATCTTGCCAGCCCCACGTCCAGTGTGTGGACTTAGCGTGACAATTACCTCTGCTGCTTGAAGACTGGCATTGGATACGTGACCTTCTTGTCACTCCCCATATGTCAGAGTTTTAAAGGCAGGAGCAGCCTTGAGAAGGGTTTATTGTTTGCACTGAGCTATCCTGAGGAACTGAAAACAAGGAAGAATTGTGACTCAGGGTCCTGGGGCACCCTGCTACATACCTGGCCCATGAGATTGGTCTCAGAGCCAGGAGCCCTAATACTGTGATACTATGCCCTGAGAAGTTTAAGCCAGTGGGCACTAAGGCAGCGATGGTAACTAGTGGTCCTGCTCTCTGTGGCCATGAGTGAGCTGGGTTCCCTCATTTATCTGCATTCAGTGCATATGTCAGAGCTCTGCTTTCTTCCCTATCTCTCTGATACATTGGGAGGATGTTACTCAAAAGGGGCATAAGCTGGGATTTTTGTAGAACAAGTGGGACCTTGCACAGCTCACAGGCTTTAAAGCTTCTTGGAACCAGCAGTGAGTCCTTGTACACAGAGAGGAACACAAAAAGAGGAAGGTTCTAAAGTAAATGCGGTTATCCCTACTATAGTGGTTTGTTTTCTTCTCTCTGAGTGGTACTGGAAATTGAGCCCTCAAGAGAAGAGTCATCACTAAGAAGTAAACCAAATAAAGCTGGAGGAGATACCCGTCCCAACACAAGCACAAATCACACCCGAGACACAAGAAATACACCTCTTCCAAATGCTCATAGCTCCTCAATTACTGAATCCAAAGGAGCTGAAATACCAAAGAATTCAAACATCTACTTCTAAAAATGATCAATGACCTCAAAGAGGATTCAAACAAACAGCTTTATGAGGCAGGAAGCCTTCTGAAGACCTGGGTTATAAAATGAGCAAGAGAACAAGAAATTCAGCAAGGACATTGAGATTCTGAAAAAAGTCAGAAATGTTGAAAATAAAAAGCTCAATAAGTGAAATAAAACCAGTGATAATTCTGTCAAATGCTAGACCAAGTAGAAGAAAGAATTCCATGTATCAGTGACTAAGTTGAAGAGATATTATATTCAAATAGCAATAAAAAATAAACCTGCATGGCCACCACAGTCAAGAAATCTGTGGTGTGATCAAGGGATGGAGCCCAAGGATCTTAGGGGTTGAAGAAGGAGCAGAGATAAAAAATAAAGACACAGAAACCCTCTGTCTTTCCTTTATTTCATGGAAACCCTGTTCCATGAAGTTGTGGCGAAGAATTTCCTAAATTGGATCTAGAGAAAAGGTTAGATCAAGAAGAATTAACCTAGAAGGTAACACACACGCACAGGAAATCAATGTGAGTCAATGCCCTGTATAGCTATCCTTATCTCAACCAGCAAAAACCCTTGTTCCTTCCTATTATTGCTTATACTTTCTCTTCAACAAATTAGAGATAGGGCAAAATAGTTTTGCGGGTATTGAGGGGGTGGGGGGAGAGGGAGGGGGTTGGGTGGGTGTAAGGGAGGGGGTGGGGGCAGGGGGGAGAAATGACCCAAGCATTGTATGCACATAGGAATAATAAAAAATAAATTTAAAAACTAACCTTAAAAAAAAAAAAAAAAAGAATTTCCTGAATCTAGGGAAAGACATGGATATCCAAATCCAGGAAGCCCACAGCACCACAGATTGACTGACCAGAAAAGAATCTCTCTATGCCATATTATAGTCAAGACAGTAAAATTAAACAAGGACTATTGAACACTCCAAAAAAAAAAAACCACTAACTTATTTATAAAGACAAACCCATCATCAGCCTTATGATCTTCTGCTAGCCCCAACTCTGCACTCCCTTATAACACCCAGTCTTAGCACAGAAACCTGCGATGTCATTTTGATTGACTCTGGATATCTGGTCAGTTCCCTCCACATGACCAAGATGATATCTGATCATCCTGGTCTCGCTTCAGCAAGAATCCTGTTAGGTCTGTTTAGCTGCAATCCCACTTACCCTGATGTGTCTTCTTAATGGCTTTCCATCCACTGACCCCCCACTCTGCTCCTTTGCTATGAATTCCCACTTGGCCATGCTGTATTTAGAGTTGAGCCCTATCTCCTTCTCTCATGGCAGGACCCCACTGCAGTGGTCCTTATAATATTATCTTAAAGGACCTATAAGACTTTCCTCATGACACTTTAACCAATGTCTTTCCATAATTTTTCTTCAACATGGCACCTATGTCTTCTTCCTTCCCACCTGACAACAGGTCAGTCAGCATTGGAATCTAAGTGGAGACAATGGCCCAGGGAGCCTTGGGGCCTTCCAGCCATCCCATAGCTTCAGCAGTCACGTTCCACTTCCCCTCAGGCTTCCAGAGTTGAGTGTGCCAAGCAAGTGAAGGGGACTGGGATGTCTTGCTTTACCCCCAGGCTGACTTAAACACCAATCCTCCGGTTATTCACTTCCTGTTTGTGCTGGAAGACAGACTCTTATTACCACCAGCTTTTTCCTTTTGAGATGGGATCTTGTAAACTTTTGGCCTAAGCTGGCCTGGAACCTTGGTCCTTGCGATCTGAGCCTCCCATAAAGCTCAGATGGGGGCTTGACCCACTATACCCAGCTGTTGACTGAGATAGGGTCATTCAGTCTTTTTACCCAGGCTGGTCTCAAACAGCTACCATCTGGATCTTAGCCTCTCAAGTAGGTAGGATTACAGGAGTGAGTGACAGTGCTAGGCAAGATAGGTATTTTTCAAGCCTATGACAACTAACTGATATCCTTTTTCAAAGAGAAAATATATAAAGGCAGTTACTTAACTCTGCTTGACAAAAGGAGCACTAATAAACATTTGCTGTAGCTATCCTCCCTCCTTCAGCCCTTAGCAAAGCAGTCTCCCTATTTTTCTTGAACAGGAACAGTAAGTTGGAGTACACAGACTAACATTGCTGAGGCGTTCTGCGGGGTGACACCTGCATGGCCTACACTGGTGTCACCTGGCCAGTGGACATGCCTCTGTCCATGCTATGTGAACGAAGAGACTGAGCATGGTCTCTGTGAATCTCAGAAACCAACTCCCTCAGACGGGACACCTGCCTTTATGAACTAAGAAGCTTTCTGGACTAATCTCCTTTTCCTCTACCTTTGTTTCTCAATTCTTTCTTTCTTTTCCCCTGCAACTACGTACGTATATTAGCTTATTTCAAAATTGAAACAACACAGCACAAAGAGACACCTTCCTCATCTCATGTCTTACAGGTGACACAGGACTCTTAAGAGCTGATCAGAGGGTAATTGTTCAGACCTTCTGTGAACCCTAGAGGGCACTGTGTCCTTGAAATTTGCTCTAGTGTCCACTGCCCCCCTTTGTGACCCATGACCACTGCACCTGGACTCCTGCCATGCTGGGATGTGCTGGCTGCCCCAGGGGAATGGCAGGTCCAAAGGGAGTGACCAGGGTTATCTGGTTCACTTTAGTGTCCCCAGTCTCAGCAAGCACCACCTCATGAAGGTGACCTATAGACACTTGCTGAATGCATATATGC